AAATGGAGCATTTTCACCCGTTAGCGAGTTTAATGGAATTTAACTTTGAAATACAAAGACATTAAGTCTGTTTTTGAGCTCAAATACAGTTTCCAAGTTCTCCTCCATGATTCTCTCCTTCCCCGAACAGAATTCAATCTTTGCGAGGGAACGCAAACTTTTGCATGGGAACGCAACGTTTTTTCCCCCCCTTCCATGTCACTTGAGCGGCTCCGTACACCTCTTCTCATGCACTGAACAAAACAAACGAGGTGTGCTTGTTCATTGGCCATCCCATATTGATGGAGAAAACAGGACCGGCTATATAGTCCAAAAAATACAGTAGTAAATCGCTGTAGTTTTAATATACAGCTAGTTTCCTTACTAATGCAGTGATGTAACTCAAATTTGTACATTAGTACTAATGCAGTAAATGATCGCATGAAAACAGTTAAGGCCATAAATTTGAAACAATCAAATTAAAAGCACCATGTACGGCGGCTACTAAGCGTACCTACTTATGTAGTCATACAGTACGTCGGTACAGTTGGAAATCAAGGACACCCTGCAACGTATCTTTTAAAACACAGAATGGTAAATGTGTTGCAATGATTGAAACTTCAGCAAGCCTCCCCCCACATTCTCCCCACATCATCTACAGCGGTTACCTTAATAATTTTTGTCATTTTACACTGCTACACCACAAAGACCATTTCAATTTCCAGTGTTTCAAAGTTCACATCGAGTGATGACCTGCTTCCTAGGACGCCTCAATTACAACCTATGAAGAGCGACTGAATCCAGCACAAAGCCCAGAGATGACCAGAGCAGCTTTGAGAGCGTATTCTGCACGGCTTCAATCCAAGTTAATAAAGCACTCCCTCTGAAATTAAACACAGCAGCTGTCAGGACTCTTGTCCAGGGCATTTAAGGTGCTTGGGCTAGAATTAATGGCGGCATTTGGGTGGCCGACATGGCAACACCTCTATTGGGTGTCAAGGTGATGCCAGCCAGTCCTGCGGAGTGGCAGCACCATTGTGAAGTCAGGGCACGTGACTTGGATACCTCAGATTTGAGTTAAGTCTCGCAAAAAAAAAAAAAAAAAGAGAGGCTTGTCAAGCCAACAAAAGAGCTCTGCTATCTCACTCTCCACACAACTCCAAATAACAGTGAACACTCACCGATTCGCAAACTCACCCACTCCATTTTTTTTTGTAAAATGCAACAAAACAATTCGCTGAAAAATGCACCGATCTGGGTATTGTGCTTTTTATGTCCAAACACCCTGCTCCTCTTAAGGTGCCATGTTAGGGGAGGAGTAGTTAAAGTGTGGTGGAAGATTCCGATAGAGGTCCGACAAGCTGGCAAGACAATAACACTACCACATTCTATCTTACTACAGTCACTATTTCATTTCCCCTTTCACCAGTGGTAGATGCCAGTGCTTCCACAAGTGCAGCCCAAAACTGCAACATTTATGCTGTACAATAAATTTATTAAGACCATTAATAATCATGGTACTGGATTCTTTTCTTATTGAACCACAAACAACATGGCGTGATTGTCAAGGAAGGTACACGTTGCTCTGGCTGCTGTACAAAAAAAAAAAGTAACAAAAGAGAAATAAAGAAGAGTGGATTTTTCAGAGGCTGTTGAAGCTCCAGGGGCACCAGGCGCATCCAATTGCAGCATGAGGGCCTGTCTGTAGTAGATAGATATTTGGAAGAAATAAAATTTGGGTTCATCCTTGCAGAAATCAATGTCAGCTTTAGCAGACTGGAGACTGAATGAGCAATATTAGTCTGTGCCTTTTTTTTTGTTTACAGAGACTGATCGTCCATTTTATTGTGTTTTGATTGTTTTTGGTGGTTTTGATTATTGGTGTTTATTTCGGATATTTGCAATGTCTTTTTTCATTATATAATTCAAATTTTAATGATTCTCAAGAAATAAAAGTGTATCTTCAAATGGGTGTCATTACATTATTGTACTACGATCATTATATTAGTTAAAAAATGGTAGGAAAGCCGCAATATCGTTTATCACAAACATTTCTGGGACAATTTATGCTCAAGCTAAATTTGTTACCGTCATTAAGCCTATGTGTATTTATTTTTGTTGTGTTGAGTTTTACAGTAAATGCCACCTGTTGTGTCAATAAACAGTTTAAGGCACGCTCACTCAAGGACAGCAGAATCACATACACACATCACAAGCTTGTTGCACAAGCAATGTGGTGCATTCAGGGTCCTTTCACAATGTAGGAACTCAACGCACTTGGCATATTAATTGTTTTTTCTTTTATTGTTTTTTTGGTCGCCAGATGCCAAAATCAAATTCAGCATAGATTTACTGCAACACAGAAGTCTGCAACATGGTGCTTGCAGGCACCAGGTAAAACCCTAAAATAACTCAGCTGTGATAGGGCATTATGATTTCCGAGGAATGTTGTACAAACCCAATTCCCATGAAGTTGGAACAATGTATTAAACATAAAAACAGAAGACAATGATTTGGAAATCATGTTCAAACTATATTTAATTGAATATACTACAAAGGCAAGATATGTAATGTTCATATTGATAACGTTATTGTGTTTAGCAAATAATCATTAACTTATGCTTTAATAAAGCGGCAAAAAAGACTGAGAAAGTTGAGGAACGCTCATCAAACTCCAGTTTGGAAAACTCCAGGCTAACTAGGAAAAGGTGACTGGGTATAAAAGGAGCTTCCCTGACATGCTCAAGTCATACACAAGCAAGGATGGGCTGAGGTTCACCTCTTTGTAAACAACTGCGTGGGAAAATAATTCAACAGTTTAAGACAATGTTCCTCAACTTACAATTGCAAGGAATTTTGGGATTTCATAATCTATGGTCCATAATATCATTGAATGGTTCAGAGAATCTGGAGACCTCACTGCATGTAAGCAGCAAGGACAAAAACCAACATTGAATGCCCGTGACGTTTGATCTCTGCATCAAAAACAGAGATCCATGCGTGCAGGATATCACCACACGGGCTCAGGAACACTTCAAAACAGCAATGTGTGTAAATACAGTTTGGCACGACATCTGAAGTGTAAATTAAAACTAAAAGTGTGCAAAGCAAAACCAACACCCAGAAAGGCCGCCAGCTACTCTGGAATTGTTCTGTGGTCTGACGAATCCATTTCCAATAGCCTCCAGGCCAAAGAAGAAAAGAACCATACGGACTGTTGTGGACACAAAATTGAAAAGCCGGCATCTGTGATGGTATGGGGCTTTGTTAGTACCAAACGCATGGGTAACTTACACATCTTTGAAGGTACCATTAATGTTGAAAGGTACATGCAGGTTTTGGAGAAACATGCTGCCACCCAAGCAATGTCTTATACATGGATGCCCCTGATTATTTCAGCAAGTCAATGCCAAACCAATTCTGCATGTGTTACAACAGCAAGGATCCGTAGTAAAAGGGTGTGTGGGTACTGGATTGGCCTGCCTGCAGTCCAGACCTGTCTCCCATTGAAAATGTGTGGCGCATTATATGCCTGCAGTCCAAACCTGTCTCGCATTGAAAATGTGTGTCGCATTATGAAGCGTAAAATACGACAACGGAGACCCCGGACTGTTGAACAGCTGAAGCTTAACGTCAAGCAAGAATGGGGGAAAAAAATCCGCCTCTTTAAAAAAAACCTGAATAAACACCCGGGTTAGCGCTATTCTAACCCGAATATTGTGTCATGTAAATGGAATCGGGTTACATCCTTCAAATGAGACAATGGTTTGTGTTCTCAGCATGCTCTTGCGCTAACCACAAAGAATCTTGGTCTTTGTAGTACAGGAAGTAGTTTTGACTTGTCATCCTTGCCATGGCTAACTTAATTTCAATACATAGATTTTTTTGGGTGGCCCTTTCACATTATTTTCATGCGAAAATTACACAGATTATACAGACAGGCATATTTGTTTGTATAAATCTGTATGCTTGGCCTGCAACTCGTCAGAAATATACAAGCAGAAGTAAACAATCATGGTCAAGCTCAGAGAAACGGCTCAAAAACATACTTTTGGAGCGAGGAGGTGAGTGACAAGAAATATAATGCATTTTATTGATAGTAGAAAGTAACAGGCAGAAATACAGTCTATTTGGATCAAGACGTCAGTGCAGTGCAACGCCGTTTAAATCAGGTTATTCAAATGTGGGAGTAACTTTACCCATTTTCGCACATATAAACTGGTTATTCTGAATTTTTCAGAAATCACGATTTTGACCTGAATCCAAATATTGACTGCATGTAAACATAGTCACTTGTAGCCAGTACCAGCACCACAAGGTGCACATTGTTGCTAATTTTCTGTAGCTCGTTTCATTGTTTCACTGATCAGGTCGAACTGGGAGTGATAACTGATGCAAAGGAATACAGTATTTTAAAGTGTGTTCTAATAAGTTTTACTGTTTAAATGAGGCCGTGCAGGAGGGAAACGGGAAGAAAGAAAGTTTTATTGGCTCTCTCTATATCACGGATTAGTACCATCGCTGGTGGGAGGGTCTGGAATGTATCCCCCCGCGATAAACGGGGGTTCACTGTACACAAGAGTGCGACTTCTCCTCAGAGAATGCGGGGTTAGCGTCATGCTAGTGATCAGTATGGGCGCCAATAGCTACGACGTCTGTTTACTCACTACAAATATAATCTGGAGCGAAGCCCACGAGAACTCTGTTTCAGGTAGATAAACGACCTGGGACGTCGTTATCGGAACCACAAGGTGTTAGAATGAGACAAAGCCCACGGAGCATATCCGGTTCCTCCGCGCATGTGACCCGAGGAAGCTCATGCAAGCAGGTAGCCGCGAGCGAACGAGCCAATTGGCGGCTAACTAAATCAGCTACCTCGGCTAAATGGCTAACGGCGAGAAAAGCTAACCTCAGCTAGCTAGCATATTAACGGGAACGAGCTAACGGCAGGGGGGCATTATCCCCTTATTAAAACCTGGGCCAAAACTCGTTAGCCTCACGTTTATTTAGCCAAGACTCACCTTTAGAGTAGAGAGATTTGGGGGAATTGAGGTCGAGGTCCGAGCTGAGGAGGGAGACAAAATCAGAGGGCATCGCAGCGCTTCATCGAGGGGAGGGGAAGCGGACACTCTTCGGCAGAAACCAAGTCGTTTTTCCTCGGCCAGTCAATTGTGCGTCCCCGGGGGCGGAATGAGTCGGAATACGGCATCGAAACAGTACGAATATATTGGACAAAATATTCAAAGAAAGTTTGAATAAAAAAACACACACAACACCGTTAAGTATCACATCTCATCACGTTGTGATCTCGTGTCTGTTGAGGAGAGACGCACACACAAACACACATTCTCAACAGTGGAGGTCGGCCCACGTCCAGGCCCCGCCCACTTAGCTGCGCATGCTCAGTGGAGACGACAAATTACTTGGGAGATAGTAAACCCTTTAAACAATGTTACTACGATTTATGATAGTTGTCGTTGGTTTACGGGTTTATATGGCAAGTTTCAGAATTTACTCGATATACGTACTTGATATCCATCTTAAACCTTACACACTATTCATTTTCCAAGCACTCATCGGCCAAGAATATCATCATGATAATTGCCAATGCCTACATCAAATTATGAACTACAGATATTTTCAAAATGTATGCGAAGTCTGTCTAACATTAGTATATGGATGATTAATCCATGATCAATGTTTAAGAGAAAAGGCCAAGTGTATTTTATTTATTTATTTATTTTCCATGATGTTTCATACATATTTCAGTAACCCCCCCCCCCCCCCCCCCCAACCCAGTATGGACCATTCTCATGTACAGTAAGACATATTTTGACAGACTGGCAAAGTCCTGGACGACTCCCAAGTGAGGTGTTCAAAGCTCATCCAAAAGAAAGAAGGCCCCTTTGACAGCCTGTCACACCTAATTTTCACACAGCAGATACATGCGAGTCAACCACAAAAACCCATGGAGCTCCCTTAAGTGGGACTGTCTCTCTATATTGCCGCTTCATTAAAGTTAGCTCTTAGTTTTCTTCTCTCTCATTATTTGTCTTGTTTCCTGTTTCAAAGAAGTTCTCCACTTTTTCTTTTTTTTTTGCTGGCTTCTGTGCTTACTTTTACCATAAAAAAAGCCATGTGATGTCCTGTTCTTATGTTATTGTACTCTTTCATGATTTCGGGATTCTCCCATGAACCTTGAAAGACCAAATGATCCAAGTTTCTTTCCAAACTTGTGCAAATGTGGCGGATACTGACAGTTCTCCAGACCGTTTCAAACTCCCCTGCAAACACGAACTCCACTGTTCCATGGATTTCATAAAATTGCAAATTTCCCCATATTGGGGATAAAAAAGATTACCTTAAAATACACATATAACCAACCTGAACAGTCCCCAGACTGTTTCAAGCCTCCTGTTGAACACTGTTACCATTGTCCCATAAAACACACACACACACACACACACACACACACACACACACACACACACACACACACACACACACACGCGCACACACATTTATGATAGCCCTTGTATCAAGATTCCCACCATTCCCATCATTTTCCCATCACTAAATAAACGAACCAATCATCTAATGGAAAATGCTTTAAATGCACATGTATGCAAGTATATCTGTGCCATCAGGTGGTATTATTCATAATAGACCAATTAAAAATATTTAAAAGAATTACTGAATTTGATTAACCAATTTTAGGGGTAAACATCATTATAATATTACAGGACTCCTGTGATAAAGACTAAAGTATGAGACATTCAAAAACAAATCAATATTGTAATGAATGTACCAAACCCAACCAGTCCATATGCACATTCACCGAACTCCATTTTCCGAACCGCTTTATCCTCACTAGGATCGTGGGGGGTGCTGGAGCCTATCCCAGCTGTCTTCCGGCAGTAGGTGGGGGACACCCTGAACCGGTTGCCAGCCAATCGCAGGGCACACAGAAACGAACAACGAGCTCACACTCACACCTAGGGACAATTTGGAGTGTTCAATCAGCCTGCCATGCATGTTTTTGGAATGTGGGAGGAAACCGGAGGACCTGGAGAAAACCCACGCAAGCACGGGGAGAACATGCAAACTCCACACAGGAAGGCCGGAGCTGGAATTGAACCCGGTACCTCTGCACTGTGAAGTCGACGTGCTAACCGCTCGATATCGGGCCGCCACCGAACTCTTCATTAGTGAAAAATAAAAATATGATTTTTTTTTTACAAATTCAAGACATAAAAAACGCATTTATTAAAAACAGAAAAAAAGCAAACAATCAGTATTGGTATAAAGTATACGTTTTTAAATTGTGCACAAAATGAAACAGCCAGTGATGGCCAAATGGGCATGACATAACTAATTGACATGTTGAGTCAGGTGTGTTTTAACCTCCATGGCAGAGGCTCGGTCGAACCCCTGAGACTGATTCACCGAACCCCTAGGGTAGAGTTCGATCGAACCCAGGTTAAGAACCACTGGTCTACAAGTCAACGTCTCTTTTCTTTAGACTCAATATCCCATCAGCCACCGTCGTACACGTCATCGTGTTTTTGCGGAAGTACCGGAATCGACAGTGCTGCTCTGCTATTTTGTTCATAAGACGCTTAGTGTCTGTCATTGTGTACGTAGTTTATATTAAATTATCGCTTTGCGTTTCTGTTCCAAATTTCCCATCCTAAAACGCTTCTTGAATGGCAGCCCTTAAGTACGCCGGTATGGACGATACTGACAGTGAGGACGAGTTACCTCCTGGATGGGAGGAAAGATCAACGAAAGATGGATGGGTCTACTATGCAAAGTGAGTGCACTTCGTCAACCACGATTAACAGTCATTGGCACATGTTGGTTTGCCTTTTAAAAGTGTGTATTTGCAAGTATTACACAGAAATGAGTCTGCACAACTGTATGACGCATATAGCATAATTTATTTTAAGTGTGCATATGCTATAGGGTAGTCTTTTGTAATGACCTTTTATCTAATTGATGTTATTGCTTTGTGTTCATAGAGTAATTGCAATAAAATAGACAGATGTAATGACATTACATTTTCTAACTTTTGTTTGTGTGTGTGTGTCTGTGTGTGTGTGTGTGTGTGTGTGTGTGTGTGTGTGTGTGTGTGTGTGCTATAAGCCACGACGAGATGAGAACACAATGGGAACACCCTAAGACTGGAAAGAAGAAACGTTGTGCTGGAGGTTTGATTTTTCTACTCCCACCACAGAGAGTATTAGCGTTTCGTTACAGTTTTTATTAAATTGTTGTAGTTGGTGTTCTTGTATATAATATCCCACAAAAAAGTGTGTCATGTATGTTCTTATGTCAAACAGATTTGCCATATGGCTGGGAGCAAAACACCAATGAGCACGGTCAAATAGTTTATGTCGAGTAAGTAGATTCATCATCATGCAGCATGTGTTTGGTATGATTCAAATTGATTTGTTTGTCTGCAATTGTAAAATTACTGTATATAATATTTTTTGTACAATATTTTTCTTACTGCCAGTCACATCAATAAGCGGAGCACTTACTTCGATCCCCGCCAAGTGTTTACTGTGGAGGATGTGATGGTGAAGCCAAAACGCTATGATGGTAACTCTGCGGCTCTGGAGATCCTTCAAGGTCGGGATCTCTCTGACAAGGTGGTCCTGATTACTGGTGGCAACTCTGGCATTGGTGAGTCCTATTTACGCACAGTTACAAAAGCATCTTGACTTAAAAATGCCCCACATAATGAATTTTTCGAGTTTTCAGTCTTCTGAATGATTGCAGATTTGGAATCCTTGTTGAATTCCCTTTCCATCAATACTTATTTTGTAAAAATTGACCCAATTGTTCCTGAGGATCTAAAAGGATGGTGGCCACACACCTTTTTGCCAAAAATGTCAAAATTTAACTGAAAACATAATGAAGAAACATTTGCCAAAGTAGAGATGTCCGCATACATTTTGGTAAAGTTTGAGCGTGGTTATATGCATTCAGCAGTTTTAGGTTGTAAATGTGTCCAGTTCTTTTACTGACGTCACACCAGCACATGGGCGGAGGGCGGGTGGCATATCGATCTTGATGGTGGAAAGGGGCGGTCCAAGATTGGTTATTTACTTATTTCTCAAAAAAAGCAATTGAAATTGCAAGTTAGTTTTGTTTTCCTGAATCCAAAATATAGAAAGAGATTTTTTAAAAGAGAAAAATGGGCCAACTGGGCCACATAGTCCATTCAAGTGTCATGTCACAAGGCTTCTGTCTCTGATCCTGCTATTAACTGTGCGCTTCTACAAAAGCACCACTGGGTGGCAGCATAGTATCGCACAATAAAAGTATGCGTCACAGCCGGGCATTCATCAGCATTAACCTCCAAAGTGTAAGACATAGCCTCAACAAATCACCGAGTAATGCCGAACATGACTGTATTGAAGTTCATTAGCTGGGCTGAATTGAATGTCATTGTTAATCGCAACAAATGCACGTATAGCGTGCCAGCACAAGTGTAAGTCACCATCAAATCCCTTGGAAACCAATGGATTTCCTGTTCACCCTTTGTTGGTTTTAGTTTGAACTTTGAACAGAGCAAAGTGTTGGTCTCCCCTTACAAACGTTGTGCTTTGTTCGGGACGGATAACGACAGCTCTGGGGAAATCAAATCAACATAAAATGCGTAATTGTCTTTATATTCAAATGCTTTGTAGAAAAGAAGTGTTGCAGTGATGTCTAATTGCTGTATGTACATTATGAGATGGGGCACTATAGTAGATTTACAGCTGCCTTGGGACCTTGATGGAACAATGGAGCTTCTGAACTTAATTGCCTCCCTATCCTTGATGTTTCTCCCATTTATCTGTCGAGGCTCATATTAACAAATGGATTGTGTAAAAATGATATGCAGTCTTATGCAAATGTGTCTTTTATTTTAATTCATATATTTTCACTGTCAACAGACTAGAGAGTGAATGAACGTGGTCACCTTTAATAAACTACACTGTGATTGAAATGTATCTCCCTCTTTTAAAATACTAAATTATTTGTTGTATATTTTTTCCCTTCAAATTATTTTTTGCGCATTTGGTATCCATCACAGAGAATGAATCCTGTCCGAAGACATCCCGCGTCACACCGTTATTAATACTTACTGTATCGTACAAATGGAAAACCTTTAAGAAACACATTGCAAGCATTGTGTACATCATGTTAAGTTTTATTAAATCAGGCTCTCATACCCTTTTGATTTCATGACAAAAACTCAAAATAATCTAACTGACGCCCGACTCTGCCCGAATTGGATGATGTAGGGGAAAAAAGCCTGGCAATTTTTCTTTGTTCATTTGTCTAGTATTCACTGGGTATAATGTCTGCAAACC